GACTAAGAAATAATTTAGCTATTTACACTATTTTGCTTTACTTTATGACCTACCACAGTCATGCAGGTATATATGAGAGAATTGCATCGCTTGTCATGAGGAATGAATCATTGCTTCAATCAGCTGTAAGGGTACCAACAAATGTGTCCATGCCTGTAGGTCCACTTTAACTTGTTTCCATTCACAAATACACTAACGCTAGTTACCTCACATAAATACAGTATTAAGAAAGAACTCCAAGTGATATTGTTTCTACATTGGTCGCTTAACATAAACCTATTATATTTTTGGCATAATTACAAACCTTTTTATGTACTGACCACAGAAACCAGTGACATCACCATAACTTTTCAGCTTGATGTTACGGACTGGCACAGGAAAAACAGTCATGGAATTGTAGATTAGTGGCTATCCCAAAATAGGTAAATAGGCAAAAGCGTTATTGGGTTTTATTTATAATAAACATCATTTTTAAATTGAACTGGAGTTTTCCTTTACTAGAATTCACAAATAGATGTACACATAAGTAGAACTTGCTATGTCCTATATATTTTAAGTAATTCTAGACTAAAGAGAGGTGGGTTGTAAGGCCTTAAATAGTATTAAGGTGCCCATACACCTTGCGATTATCGTACGATAATCGCGGGAAATCCCGCGATCGTACGATAATCGCAAGGTGTATGGAAGGCGTGCGACTTTTGTTGAAAGAGTATGCTAGAAAACCCGCCGAGAATCGTACGATTGTCGGTGGGTTAGTGGCGTGCTCGTTCGACAACTGCGGAACGGGCCGGTGTGCGCACGCGCACACTGCCCGTTCAGCATTGCAGTCATTGGAAGCCCGCCCCTCAGCGCGGCAGGCTTTCGATGATCGCAAGTACGATCTGCCTGTCCAAGATGGGCAGATCGTACAAGCTTTTAATTAGCTTACAACCATCGCAAGACAAAAGTCTTGCGATGGTTGTAAGGTCTATGGCCAGCTATTGGTAGGAAGGCAGTTATACAGGTGAAAACATTTAATTAATTATTCTAAACCAGCAAAAACAGGCACATGACTGACACACAAAGTACAATGTACAGTGCATTGAAAAGATTTAAAAGGAAATTTGCCATGCCCGTTCCGTAACACAAAATACTTTAAATAGAGTGCCAAGTTGTAAACATTGCACACAGCTGCAACTGGCACCCTATACTGACTGAATGTGGATAGGCAAAACCCCCTATTGGCAACCATCACGTTTGCTTTTTTTTTTTACATTTGTCTCTTAAAATGAGCCGGAACAAATGAGTTTGAACAAAGAAGGACACACACATGAAATTGGGGTAAAAGTATATTTTTTTTGTTGAGTGCTGGCAACAAAACATGTCCTCTGTCTAACATACAAAATTGTATTAAAAATAACTTGTATAGTTTTATATTTCAAAGACAAAATGTTTAGAAATTCAAACACATAACAAGTGCCTACTATATGCGTCAATTTTTATAATACTGCATTAACACTGGATGCAAGGTAAAAAAGGGAAAACAAGACATCTGTTTTTTATCTTTAACAACACTGGGTACAGCTTCATGTTCAAAGAGAAAAAAAAAAAAGTCATATTAAAAAGTGGCAGCAAGTGTTAAGCTGCATCCACAAGCTTTCCAAATGGCATACACCTTATTCTTCCAAATGCACTGCAAATGAACAGGACGTGATGGACTGCAAACAGCTGGACAATGAGGAAAATGTGACGACCCATGAATTACTGGAAGAAGCAATGAGGAGCAAAGCAATAGAAAGCAGGAGCGAAGGGTACAGCCAAGACAATATCACAGGAAGGAAAGGATGTTTGTACTGACCCTACACTAAACTTATAAAACCTGTAACCAGAAAGGTTTGTTCAAATAACATGTAAAGACGCTGGATGTCAATAAGCAGGCTGATCATGAATTGTACATGAAAACACTGATATATTTAGTTAAGACAGCTGCCATTCATGCTCAATATAAGTGTATTGTGTGCAATTCATCTATATACAGGGACGTCACAGCAGCTAATAATACATATGTACTCACAGCCACCTATGACCTGTACCAGATCCTTAGAAGATAGAACAACAACTTTGCATAAAGTAGTGGGTAAAGTTTAATTAGTTTGCTACATAAGCTTTAAATAGTGGTGGCACTCTCCTCAGTCAGCTGCAGCAGGGTGCTGGTCTGGATATACCATGTATTGTGCATGAATTCATGCAAGTATAGTAGAAGTTTTCCTTGCGTTAGCTAGAATGGGATTTTAAAGCACGCTCTGTTGAAACAGAGGAATATCTTGGGGGACTCGATAAAGCATTTGAGACCGTATTATAAAGTCCTGCACCAAATTCATGAAAAGCATGCAACAGTTGCGCCAACTATTGCATTGATGGGAGACAGATTTCTAATGAGTGTCTAAGACACTCTTAAATGAATCTCACAGTGTTCTTACTCAAGTACAAAAAGAGAAATATAAAAGGTACATGCATTGCCTGACTGAACAACCCCTATAAAAAAGTGGCATTACTTACAAATGGCTTACAATTTATCTTGCTCTAACTGTACATATTTAAAATTATCTGTTTACGATTAGTGATCATTGGTAGGCTAAATTACATAAACAACATATTCTTAATGTTTGATTACTATTATCAATTACACAACGCATTTATTTGTGGTTCATGTGTTACCCAACAGCGGATTCATATTCCCTTACAAAATGCAGCTCTACGGGAAAGCTAAAAAAGCTGTCCGCATGCACTTTCTTGCTACTCTGCCGAATGAGAAAAGAAAGCAACTGCACGTTTGAACTCTAGAGATAGAAAAAAGGAAAATATAGTGGGGGGAATGTATCAAAACTGGAGCAGACATTATTGATGGCTATTGACAACAAGAACTATCCTTACTGCAGGATGTCTCACACAGGAAGGTTACTTTGCCTGTTTAGTATTTCTTAAATATTAAAAAATACAGATCACTTTATTCTTTGTTATGCCAGCCTATATTTACAGCACACAGCAATTGTACCTGGGAACTCCGTAAACTATACTGCTAATATACTTACATGCTGGAAGGGGAAGCGCATCCAAACAGATAGCAGGGAAGCCATTTTACTCGGTGCACAGCCAAGGACTACTGTGGAAAAAATAGAGACAGAAAGAACGACATACAGATGCAGGGCTAATGTGCTAAACATGGCCCAGGGATAGGTAATTAAATTAAGGCTTGGAGGATTCACTGCATAAATTAAATGCATGGTTCACATCATTTGTGGCTTTCTTCTCCAAATAATAAAATATGTCTAATTATAAAAAAGGAGCAAACAGTGTAAGAGTTGAGAAATCATTATACTCGGCTATAAATTGGCTAAAAGCAACTAATCTATCAATATTACTTAGACTATTTTCAGTCTGGTGGGTTTCCTGTGCTCCACAACATAACAAAAACCAGGGAGACTGGACTGGACCTTTATCCAATCTAGGACCACCCAAAGACCAGAGCTCAACCACAGAGGAAGCAGATATTCTGTGGGCTGAAGCAATCAGCATCTATTGAGAAAGCAACACATCAGGAATAGTAATGGGCTCGGGCGTGTTCGCAGCTCCACGCGCCAAGCCCACCAGGAAGCTGACAGCGCCAATCACAGGTACTGAGACATTATCCCGGTCTGCAGCTGCGGACCGAGATAATGTCTCAGTGCCTGTGATTGGCGCTGTCAGCTTCCTGGCGGGCTCGGCACATGGAGCTGCGAACACGCCTGAGCCTATCACTAATCAGGAACTGCTGATCAATGCAGTTGAAATTCAGCTCTCAAAATGGCTGTTTTTGTACAAAATGTTTGCCTGCAATTTGAGTAGGCCACAATTCACATTAATGCAGAAATTCTTAAGATTAGCCATGGTTTGTTTGACGATATCTATTCTACAATGTGAAACACACTAGAAAAAAAATTAGCCCACAAATGTGAAACCAGAACAAAAAAAAAAAATCTTAAAATTTCAGTTAAAATGTGCAATACAGACACAGCAAAAGCAGCGCACAAAAAGACAACCAGAGCATGATTTATCAAGCATTTATGAATGAATAACCAAACGTGACTCATGGTTAGGAAACTGGTTTCATGATCAGATTTCTGGCCCTGCATCTATACCATAGCTTATAGGCTCTAGTATCCCTGGTCAGTGATGCTTGCATAGTGATTTGTCCATACCTAATGCCACGCACATAAAATTCAAGCACGCTAGGCTTGCACGGGATGGGATCAGCTGCAGGCAGATGTGCATTTGGGATGTGCATTTCTGGAGGGGGTGGGAAGGTGGGAGTGATCCAGGCGAGCTAGTGAACAAGAAAAGAGACAGGCTACCTAGCTATGACCAGAAAGGAGCAGGTAAAATAGCATCAGAAGAGAAAGAAATCCAGGAGTCAATAGGTAAACATGGGTCGCCACTTCTTGGAATGTATCAGAAAGGGTAAGGAGCTGTCCAGGAAGAACGGCATAGAAAGAAAATATAAGACACAGTTTAGTCAGTTTTCTTACCATGTATGCAAGTATAACATCTGCTTGGGATGGCAATGTGGAGAGCTTACTCTTAAACTTGAAAAGAACAGCAATGGACAGAGGTCAAGGAGCTCCTTCACACACATACATACACACATCCTGCCCTCTGAAGTAAATGTACAGAAGTGAAGAATACTTAAAAATTACATTTATTGGAGCTCTGTAACACTTTTATCAAACAGAAAAGTTCTTGTTGCTTTGTAAGCCAGTTGCCTCGCCTAACCATAGTGCACCACAGTTGAAACTTAGGCCCAGGACATAGAAAATAAAGCAAAAGCATGAAGCTGCTGCAGTAAGCCAAGACCTATCATGCTGCCATAGCACCGTTTCCAGAACAAATAGAATAGGTTTATTGAGTGGAAAGGGGACTTTTCTCTTCGCTGGTATATGCTTACAGTTAGCAGCACCACTAAATAACAAATTTGTTTTGGTTTCTTTTTGTCAGTTCTACCTTAACCAGTGTGAAGAGTTTTGTATTACGGTGATGTCAGATTTCAGCAAATTAGGTGTGCAAAGCTGAATGGAACAATTCACACTGGTGTCTGGGAGGAATTAAAGTTGGTTTTCCAAGACAAGTTGATTTAGCCATATTAACTATTTACAAGTTGAGTGAAAAATCAACACAATATGTAACCTAGTTTTAAAAATACAAAATTAATTTAAAGGCTGTTCAACTCAATTTTAGAAGTGGTAGTCACACTTAAACTGCTCATTAGTCAGCTTACTAAAAGCGGCCATTTTCTCTGATGTCCGAAGAGCAGTCCCGTTGAGGGGTCCGTTCTAAATACATGCAGGTAAGATCTTCAAGGATTAGATTGGTTTTTAGCCAGCAGGAGCACAACAGTGACTGGCATTGGCATTCGGAGAAGGCCAGGCTTGGCAACATTCGCTTCCCAGCAACAAAACAAAGAGTCCAAATGCACGCAGTCTCTCCCACGTGCAGCCAAACATGATGCGTTTAGTGAGTGATTAGTGATCTGTGTCGAGGAACACAAATGGCAGGGACACATTACTGCAAAAAGCAGGTGAATGGTAGGACATCCTGGGCTCGGCACACTTTATGTGAAGCTTGCACTGTAAGTTAAAAGAAAACAAACAAAAACACACACAAAAGGGGGGAGACATACAGAAAAAAACACTCACATTAGAAATGGAAAACTGGAAATTAAAGGAAAAGTATAAAACAAAGCACAACTAAAACAAAGCACAACTAAACAAAAAGAGCACCATTCATCTTTGGAGAACCTCGATGAACCTTGATCATATTTGCATTGTACAAAATACACATAAAAGAATTTCATCAAACCAAGTAAATTTTAGGTTTATGTGTCAAGCTAATACATGTATTAATATATTTGCAGTGATAGATTACTACACATGGATAGCTAGCTTCCAAATTTTTAAAAGAATTTCCAAGAACCTTAAAACTTTTGCGATAATAGACATCCTGCACATGGCTGTGTCAGAAGTAAATGTTTATACATTTATATTGTTTTATGTGTTAATACATTTCACCAATTGGATACATCACCTAGAAAGATAGAGGTTTACTGTTAAACTGGAAGAGATTGCAGAGATGTATACTGCTAGCTGTCACTGAAAACCAGGGGAATAATGGCAAATGGTCTTAGAAAGACAGAGGTCAGTAAGTAAAAGTATGAAGAATAAGGAAGGGAAGTAAGAAGAGATAGGAGGTAAAAGGAGAAAAAAAGACAAGGCAAGAAAGGAAGAATGAGAGATGAGTGAGAGGGGGAAAAAGGGTAGAGAGCGATACAGAAAATGAAAACGAGAGAAGAAAACGGAGAATTTCAGAGGTTGACACATATACCAAATATATGGACTTACATAATGCAGGAGTAGAAAAAAATTCTGTTAGTACATCATAAAAAAACATAAATTCTTAAAACAACCTAAACCCCAATGGAACCCTCTCTCTCTCTCTATATATTACTGTAATGGAGTCAGTGCAAGTGCTGCATCAAAGGTTGAAATAGATTGTGTTGGCAGAACACTGGAAAGTCAGACCACTGCTCTCATACACAGTAGTCTGAAACTCCAGATCCAGCATGCCCCCCCTGAACAGGGCTCCAATTGACAGCACTCTTGCTCCCTGAGCAGTTGTGTTAATTGGAACATTCCAGGGGGGCATGTCAGGCAGCTGGAAGTCCGGGCTGATGCTTGTGTGAGATAGCAGTTGTGCGAATCTTCAATGTGCAATTAATGCACGACATTGGTGTGTACAAGCCCTAAAATAGTGCCAAAATCAATTAGATTTCTCATTTTCTCAGTTTTCCATTCGTACCAACATATATTACACTATACGTTAACACAGGGTATTTAAACCCTTGCTGCAGCACTTAGAAGCTAAAAAAAAAAGCATTTCAGGTACCATGCTAATGCAACACACCTACCGCTCTGTAACGCACGGTAGGTGAGTTGCACGGTGCTGTGCGTTAATTGTTAATGCTTGTGTAAGATAGCAGTTGTGCGAATCTCCAATGTGCACGGCATTGGTGTGTACAGGCCCTAAAATAGTGCCTAAATCAATTAAATTTCTCATATTAAATGTTTTCCATTAGTACCAACATAGTTTATACGCTAATCTTTTGAATGCTGCTACTAGCACTGAGAAGGTGGGGAGTCTCTAATAAAATGGTGTGCAGGCACATACATTTTAGTAACTTTTTAGAACAAAATCTAATTCTTTACAAAGACTATGCATCTATTAAATGGATCACTTTAGCTTGAGTTGTTCCAATTGAGCATAAGACATCACAACTAATTACTTCTGACAGCCATGGTCCAGGATACTGATAAAACTGGCAAACAGACAAGTTCATAAATACTTATTATACATAAGTGGATGTCTCTAGTTGTAAAAGGCATGTACACTTTCTTAAAGGGATTGACTATTGTAAAGATGTAAAACATTTTTATGAAGTTTTACTTCACCAAAATATATCCCTAAGAAAAGCCAATTACTTTACTGTAGGGAAATAACTTAGAACAGCCACTAGATGGTGACGATAACAGAGGAAAATGTGAGGAGAAACCATAGTTTCTTACATGTTGGCCTAGTATGTAATATTCATTTACAAAAAAAAAGCCAGGCCACATCTACAGAGGCCTAAGACTTCACATAATTTTGCCCCTCCTTTGAAAGGTTTATATATATTATAAAATCCAGACATCTAGTTGTGACATTAAAAACACTATTCACTGGTGTGGATTAGGCCACTTCATACATTTTTCTTCTAAAAAAAAAATAACTGCATTATTGCTTTATATTTGCAAAACCAGGGGCTCACTGCTTTTGTTGTTAACTCCAATAAAGAACTTTATGAGATTACCATATTAATTAGTAGCATGCTATAATGTAACTGCCTCTCTTCATTATGCTTATGTTATTCACCTTATAAAGTTAAATTTGCTAACTGCTCACTTCCTATTTTATATAAAACAATAACCTGGACCACTGAGAACCTGGCTGAGAAGTGGCGTTTTCAAGCATTTCCTGGCAGCTTTAATTAAAGAAAGATTAATAGGTTTATTTAAAAGCAAGTAACTTCCTTTTTTGGACACATACTTATGCATATCCTCCTGGGAAACGTAAGTCACTTTTGACATAACAGGTCAAAAAAGGTGAGAAAACAAGTTAGTTAAACGTTAGCAGCATATATGCTTAGCACTGTAACATCCTGATACTGAAATATATATATATATATAATTAGCTTACTACTAACAAAAAAATATTGGAAAAGGGTGTGGAAAAGGTTTATCCAGAACTGTGGCTCAGAAAATGTTAATAAGTTAGTGACATCATTAAAAATGCTGTGACATCTGGGTATCAACAACACCAGCTTTGTATAATGTAACACATGCAACAGGCAGTTGTAGCGGGTTACTATACAGGTGCACCTACAAAGCACAAGCATAAAATAACGCTGCAATTTCCTACTATTTTGAGAACGAAATAGAGAATATTTTAAAAAGTCTCACAATAAGTAAAGTTCTGGCTATAGAATAATAAAGATGTATAATGGTAATTACCGTATTAGTAATATGGGGCTTGAGAAAAGCATGCTTTGCAAGCCTTTGGGCCTGTTGTGCATAAACATACTGGTGTTGATTTACTAAAGCAAAAAAGGCTTTTCACCTTGCAAAGGACAATTTCCACTTAGCTTGGTGAAAGAGGGGAAGCTCTGCTGACTTGAGTGCAAGCAAATATACTATTTTTTTATATTTTAATTACACGTGCTTGAGCATTTTTTACAAAGTGAATTTTCACATTTATTAAGCACAAATTCCCTTGCAAAGTGAAAAGCCTATTTGCTTTTAGTTAATCATCCCCACTCTGTGTCTGTTAGTAGGCTGATATGCAGAGCTGTTTAAGATCCTTTACAGTTTTATGTATATGGGAGAAGCTCGTGGATAGCTATAAAGCTACCACAGAAGAGAGCCGCGTTGGACTCCAAACTCTGGTATAGCATAAACTATGTTAATGCAATGCAATGACTTGCTAAATATTTTGTGATAAATATATATTTATTCATTAAATATGTTTGCAGATAAGTGTTCAGTTCCATGTTGCTGCCAAATTGGTATCTTCTGTGAGATAAAAGATCACACCACATGTTTTTTATGTCCATTCAAGATTCAGTGTTATAAGCAACTTGGTAATCCATTAAAGTAAAACCACAGCCTTTTTAATGGGTTTTTCCCCCCTCTATGAAATACACAATAAAGAGGTCATTCTAACTTTAAAAAAAAAAAGCTTATTACTGTGCCCTAACGTATAAAGACCTAACTTTAGTTAGGTAGTTTAAATATAAATGTACATGGGACAACCATATTTGCTCTTTAAATATGCAGGCACTACTTTTTAGAGTTGCGCAATTTATTGTCTTCCTGATCTTCCTACCTCACTGTACATCTGCCAGACAAGGAATTACTGATAGAAAGCAACAGATTATTTGCAGTCTCTAATAACAAGAAACATCCACAATGTTCCGGGTACCCAGAGACCTAAGCGGTCGACTCAAATAAAAATGTGATTTGGTAATGGTGACTTGTGCCCAACTGAGTCATGTGTGAATTCTAATGGTAGGTTCACTTTAACACATACTACACTTCCAGCTATTTCATTATTTAACACCTCAACAGCCTGATATAAATGCAAAAAAATATCAGAGCATCTTTTAAGAGTGTACATAAGGGAGTATATGACAATTTAAAAGACAAAAATGCCTATACAGTATTAACAGCAAAAAACAAAATATGAATGCAGAAAACATTTCTGTAACTATTGTTTTTCAAATGTGCATTTAAACTAGTGCCTGCATAAGTGCAAAAGCTGTGTAGTGCACAAGATCTCTTGGAAATATATATAACATATATTTTTTTTTACACTGAAAAATGCACTTGGATTAAAGTCCAACACAAATGTAGTTTGTGCTGCTTAGGGACAGATACTAGGTGGGAGCAATGTACTACCTTTGTGCAACTTTGGCTTTGAGGTTCTGCCATTCCTTTATTTCGCTACTGTACACCATAGTCTTTTATGGGACATGTTGATGATGTTAGTCATTTAAAAATAGGATGGAACTGTGATGGAGGAAGTTCAGAAACCAAAGTTGCAGTTTACTTATGAATATGTAAACACAAATGGGAGGTTTACTTTACTTTAACATGAGCTTAAATTTAACTACACTAAACCGACTCTGAGACTTAAAGGAGAACTATGAGGTGAGTGAAAATCACTCAGCCTCATAGTTCGAGCCGACGTGTGACAATTAAACTGTCACAGGTCGGCTCAATAGATCGGGGAGTGAGCGAACGCATACTGTCGCTCGCTCACTTCTTGATCCTGTCCCTGTAGAGAGCAGTGACTGTCACCTGCAGGGATCCCCCCCTCCCTCCCCTGTTCAATCCTCCAGCGCTGACTGGCGGAACGGACGGGGGAGGGTACAGCTGACTCTGCCTCTAGATAGGCAGAGCCAGCTGTCAATCACGTAGCTGGGTGGATCCAGACAGTAATGTCAGGATCCATCCCGGCTGCGGCGGTCTCAGTATACCGTGAGCTGTAGCTCGCGGTATACTGAGCTTTGAGTCACGGAGGACGCTAGTATATGTCCTCCCGTGACCCTTTAGAGAACTATGGGGAAAAGCACTGACCCCATAGTTCTCCTTTAATCTTATTGGCATACGCGCTGCTCTAAAAACGCACATACACGGTCTAGCTATCCATCAGAGAAAAGGCTAATAATACTCTTTGAGGCCCTGAGGTCACCTGAGTGCCTGTGTGCAAAGCACTCCTTGAGATTAATCTAAAAAATCATTAGTTGCAACCCTACTTAGAATGTGCAAGGCCTTAACTGTTGCCCGTAGGAGCCCTTAGTCATAGTAACCATTCTGTTGTGCATGAAATTAAACAATGCTTGTAACACATTGGTATACAATTGAGTATCGTACTGACTAGCTGAAAGATCAGCTCATCTTATAAGGAATTACATTTTCCAGCTCCCCTTGTTCTGTCTTCAGGTGCAGTATGAAAGTTTGTTCTGGGAGCCAATTGCCATGTATGCTATAGGTCTAGGGAAAAGTCAAACGGTGTCTGATTGAAAAAGGGCCCTGCCGTGGCTTCCTAAAATACACAGATCCACACAGTAACATGATGTGTGTCAATAAGAGAAATAAAGCTGCCTTTTGCCACTACACATTTCATACTTCATACATTCTGCTTTTCAGCATCCAATGTGTTTTCTCCCCCACTTTTTCATATCTCTTTTTGTATAAAACAATATAAAACCAAATAAATAAAAGTATATAAGACCAGTTTCCCAATATGAAGATGAGAAGATGGCAGGTAGCCACATTCATGCCAAAGCCAAAGGCTGGGATGGGAGAAAGGTCACACAGGGTGGCTTACTTTTTCTTGTCCTTGTCTTTCTTGGTTTGCTGGGATCCAGCTTGCTGGGCTTGGGACTGGAGGAGTTGCGTGGCTGCTTTCTTCTTCTGGAACATGCCGACTTCATCCTCAATCTCTCTTTTCTTGTCCTCCACCTTCTTCTTCTCTTCCTGGTGAGTCCTCTTGAGGAGGTCAAACTTTTCATGGAGCTGATGGCAAACAGCATGGATAAGCCATCAAAAAAGGTATATGGCATGCAAGAAGTTTAACCGAGATACCTAGCAGTCAATGTAAGAATAATAACAGGAATGGGCACTGGAGCCCTACAAATTGAGGAAATTAATTTGTGTGTATTTACCTGGTAATATAATCGCTCATCTGCACTGTAAAAATGGAAAACACAAGGTTGAGGGCTGAAACTGTTCCCAGCTTCTTAAAAGCCATAGGTTGTAGTATCTGCCAATCATAGCTTTGTAGCAGACTATAGCAGCACACTGATTTGCCCTGTCTTTGCTATCTTGCTAGTGACTGGAAAGAGATGAAAACGTCTAGCAATTTGCAACAATGCAGGAGATGCTAAAGACTAGGATCAAATTTGGTCATATAATAATACACAATGAACGAGATAAATAATTAAAGAATTATGAGGCGACTGATTTTTACACAGCCTCATAATCTGAGCCGACCTGTGACAATGAGACTGTCACAGGTCGGCTCAGTAGATCGGGAAGTGAGCGAACACATACCGTTGCTCGCTCGCTTCTCGATCTATCCCTACACAGAGCCGTGACTGTCACTCACGGCTCCCTGCAAGGATCCCCCCCTCCCCTATCCGATCCTCCAGCGCTGACTGGTGAAACGGACGGGGAGGGCACAGCTGGTTCTGCCTCTGGATAGGCAGAGCCAGCTGTCAATCTCGCAGCTGGGTGGATCCAGACAGTATTGTCAGGATCCGTCCCGGCTGCGGCGTCTCAGTATACCGCGAGCTGTAGCTCGCGGTATACTGAGCTTTGGGTCACGGGAGAACGCTAGTTTGTGTTCTCCCGTGACAATTAGGAGAACTATGGGGAAAAGCCCTGACCCCATAGTTTTCCTTTAATTCTTATGAAGTACATCCTTTGAAATTGTTGTCTTATTCAACATATCTGAAAAGGCAAACAATAGATCTATAGTCAAACAGTGCCTACAGATAACGGCAATCTACTTTAACTATTTCACTGCCAGAGCAATTTTTGCATGCATCTTGAAACACACATTTTAGGTCTGAAGGTTAGTTAACCCCCCTCCTCCTGGATGCAGAGACTGTGAAGAATAAAATGGTGGCAGCTGCACTATGTTATGTCACATGATATTTCCACAACTGTTTATCAAGCCCAAGTATTTAGTACAAAATGCATTCAAATTAATTTTGGTGCCCAAAAAACACAATATAATAACCATTTTTTAAAAATTATAATAAAAGTATAAAAGATGAGGTTGTATCGAGTAAACTAATACCAAACATGGCAATCCTTAAAATTGTGCATTCCCGTGAAATGGTGACAAACTTCAGTACCCAAAACGCTCCTTAAGTGACACTTTAAAACCCTTTACAGGTCATCGGTTTAGCGTTAACTATATCCAACGTGTGTGTGGGGGGGCTATAGCCGCCAAGAGTGTGTTTAAAAGCCTATGCTACCACAGACAAGCTGACCACTTCTTCATGCAAAATTCCTTCAGTTGCAAGATGCTTGTTAGTTTCCTGGTATAACCGTCAGTTTCAAAATACCCCAACAAAATTTCAATGGGGATCAAATCAGGGCTTTGACTAGGGCAGTCCATAAGCCTCTATGTTTTCTTTTTGGGCCATTGCCTGGTTACCAGTTCAACGTCAACTGTTGGACCGATGGTCTCAAGTTCTCATTAAGCACTATTTGATATGATGCAGAATATATAGTTGACTTGAGGACTGCGAGCTATCCGCGCCCTGAAACAGCAAAGCAACCCCAAAACCATAACATTTCCCCCCCACATCCTTCACAGTTAAGAGGTTGGAAATACTGTTTGTTTTGCAGCAAACAAGTCTACTGTTACTGTGACCAAACATCTCCATCTTTGATCAGTTTTCAGTACATTGTTAAGAAAGGTCTTGTCTTTGCCTATACATGCAATGGCAAACTGTTTTTAGGCTTTTCCTAACGCATCCTTTATGCATGTTGAATTAGTGCAATCTCTTTCTGCCTGCAGATGCATGCACCTTGACCTCAAATGTTGCAAGAGTTACCTGAACACCTCATGATGACATTTTGGGGTTCTCGGAAGACTTCTTTTGCCATCATACAGTAAGCTCTTGAATTTACTGGGCTGGCCAGTCCTGGACTTACTGCCAATGCCACTTGTAGATTACGTTCTTTACAGTGGAATGATTGATTGAAAATCATTTGTCTTGCTTTTTAAATCCCTTGCCAGACACATAGGCATCAATAACCTTCTTTCGAAAGGCCTTAGATAGCTCTATTGATCTTGGCACGATGACACATGTCAGTTACAATGAAAACACCAGACTCTGAGGTTTAGGGCTGCAACAACTAATCGACATAATCGATTATAATCGATTATTGAAAAAGTTGTCAACTTTTTCAATAATCGATTAATCGGCTTCTGATCAGTTGGCCCTGTTCACGGCTCCACACACGCAGCGCGCCACACCTCCTCCTCACCTCACGCTCGCCGCTGCCAGACCCGCCAGCATCCACACTCTTCACGCCGCACCTCCTCCCCGCCTCACACTCACCGCCCGCCCACATCCACGATCGGCACAGGGACGTGGGGAGATGTAGTAAGGAGGAGCAGGTGTGGGCGGATGACAGCCGCTGATAGGTCCGATCTCAGAAGCAAGTTGCTGGAAGACTGCTCAGTTAAGCCTCCACTTTCCCACACATGGTGCTCTATAATGTATTGCCGGGATTTGTATTGCTCTATAGCTGATGGTACATTGTGCTGTATATTATACATAGGAATACAAATCCCAGCAATACATTGTACACTGTATGTATAATGTACTATTGCTGGGATTTGTTGTACTCCTATATAGCTGGTGATATTCTGCACTGAGCTGTATAGAGGACTACAAATCCCAGCAATAATACATTATACAGCGCAATGTGGAATACCACAAGCTATAGAGGAGTACAACAAATCCCAGCAATAGTACATTATACATACAGTGTACAATGTATTGCTGGGATTTGTATTCCTATGTATAATATACAGCACAATGTACCATCAGCTATAGAGGACTACAAAACCCAGCAACAGTACATTATACAGTGCAATGCAGAATACCGCCAGCTATAATGTACTATTGCTGGGTTTTGGAGTCCTCTATAGTCGGTGCCATTCTGCATTCATTGCTGTATAATTTTACACTTTCCTTTTCACTATATTGCACACCACTATTTTTTTTTCTTTCCTTTTTTATTTACTTCTACCGCTCCAATCTTGCTCCTGTGATGGAGTGCAATCTCAATACAAACTAGTAGTCCATCACTGGAGCCATTTTAAAAAATGTATTTGATTGTTTATCCGATTAACCGATTAATCGAACTTAATAATCGGCTAACTAATCGATTTTGAAAATAATCGTTAGCTGCAGCTCTACTGAGGTTTAAATAAGACAAGTTTTACCTACCTACTCCATAAGAAGGTTCTAATCATTGGTATCTAATCTAGAACACCTGATTGTAAATGTGGGGATGTACTTATTTTTTGTATATGACAAATCTGCATTTTTGTCAATTTAGATCTTGAAAATAGATACTTCATGTCAATTTTATGCGTCATTTGTTCAAGTGTATCAGCTTTATCTGTAGTCACTATTTGAATCAAAATCTCATGTTTGCCTGTTCAAATATGTTGAAAAAGTCAACTATTTCCATGCAAACTCCTTAGTTTTTCCACACGACTATACACCCAAAAAGCAAAAATAGGTAAGATGAAAATATCTAATGCTATATACTTTAGTCTTGCCTCTGATTTGTGTACACAAAACAAACATTTACTTAACGTTCTCCTCTGGTCATTTCATTGTGAAGGCTTGTGCTTTTGTTGTACTTTTTATTTGTTTGTAAAATGCTATAGATCAAAGAAAATAATTCAGAGTAAGCAGTGTCCATTGACCAAGCTTTCCTTACTTCTTTTTCAGCTTCTTTAAGTTCAGCTTCCTTTTCCTTCACTCTCATGACAAACATTTGTCTCATTTCTTCCTCCTTCTTCTGTAGTTCCCCAAGGAATTCGTTCCTCTTTGCTTCATATGTTTCCTGGAGGCTGGTAACAGAAAGAACATATGTACTTCACAAAACTGTTTTTTTTAACTATGCTGCAAATACAAAGTTGCATCACTTATCTGTGGAAAAATACTGACACATACAGTGGCACATTTCTCTAGGCCCATCAGATGGCATCAGATCAAACCAGTATGAATTTACAACTATGAATGCAAAAGCTAACCACTACTAAATTTTCCATGCAGACTAAAAAAACTTGCTAGTTACCACTTTCAGGAGATGAAAGAAGAGAACGTGTCACTAAAGGGCAGTTAATACTTTTGTTCAATGAGGTCAAACAATCCTTTTTTCTTTATGAACTTCTCTGAGAACAATCTGTCTTGTGATCTTCATTTATTAACATTGTATGGTTTACTCAACTAAAAGATAGGACTAGATTTAACAGTAAAATAGACCTAGGAAAATTACAATGGAGAGTGGGTATCGTTATCCTCTATGTACCACAATGTAGCTACACAGCGGTCTGCATTAAACAACTCATCCATAAGATGCAGGCTGCAGTGTTAATCTATGTCGCACAGAGTAGGCTCTGCTTAACACATCAGAGAGAACTCCATGAATGGAGGGAAGGCTGGTCCTGATATCTTCTTGTACTACAGTATTTAAAATATACGGTATCCCGCTGAGCAGAAACAATACTGGCCATTTTAGAGTAGGCTGTACACATATTCCGTAGGGACACAGCAGGCAGTAAATGTCCTTACAAAAGTGTGATGGGATTACACTATTTTTATTCAGTTTGCACAAACAGAAGTAAAAATGAATATGTCCAAACACATACATAGTGCTAATGAAAACAGCCTTTAACTTCCAGGGTGTTTCCCATAAGAGAACTGATAAGTTGGGCCTATATCTTGTTTCCAAGCCTAATATGGCTAGATGAGGCCTCAGGCATGCAGGAAGTCAGTCAGAAATTCCTTAAATGCTTGACAGCTGCTGTGGTAAAACAACGAATAATCTACTGTACGTGTAAGCACAGAAGCAAAATCATATGGTGTACCACTAGCTCAGCTGACTGGACTGTGTGATAAATATATGATTGGTTGGAAAAATATCACACATGTGAGATAACCGAGGTATTTGTTATGCTATAACCTGTGCTGAACATACACATTTTCTTTTACTGCTGAGCAAAGGAAATTACGAATATTATTTAACAAACTGCACAGCCCAAAAGCATTTCCTTCTGTTCAGTTATCCAAACTGTGTTACAAATTTATTCCATGCAAAAAAAAACCCAATGCTCTGCTTTTTCATTTTTTCTCAGTTAAATGTGCGGCTATGCCAAGGAAATGCCATGATTACCTGAAGGGTTTACTGTCGGGGTCGGTGTCTTTGAATCCCATTTCTTCAAGTTTGCAGCGTCTGTACAGCTCGTAGTGGCGAGCATGCGTCTGTTCTCTCAAGTCCTCCATGTTTACTCGTATTAACATTTCTCTCAACTTCACAAAATCACAATGGTTTTCATTCTCAACTGATAGGAATACAGAAGAACAACAAGGGTAAAGTGAGACTGAAAATGCTTTACAGGTAACAGTAGTATCAGCAGGCTAGCCTTCCAGGCATAACTGACCTGTTGAGGCAGTCTTTATATGCTAAAAACTATGAGCCATTACGAACACTGACGTCACAGGAAAGTACTTATAAATCAAACAGACGTAATTCAAACATGTCTTGGAAACCTACCCTGTACAATACCCCAGGGATATTGCCTAGCTTTAGCCATTTTGTTGCCAATTTTTACTTCTTCTGTACTGCCGACCACTGCAAATGGAAGGTGCACCTATAATAAAAATATAAAATATGAAATGGCTTAAAGTTAGGAAAGTCTTAAAAGAAAGAAAAACAACAATAGCAATGCATGTAATATACTATAGACAGAGTAAATGCAGTAGAAGCTGAACAAACTTTAAAAACAATCTGCATGTGAGGAAAGCTTGCAGCCAAGTAATGTTGTAACAAGTCAAATTCCAATTTTGGCAAATTAAGAAACATAAAATCTAAGGCCTCATTCACACACACAACGCAAGCAAAATTGTATATTGCATATATACGCGTCTATGCGCGTATATACGAGCGTATATGCGTGCACTATATGCAATCCCAGAATGCATCACTCGTAATGGAATTTTTAATGTGCTGTACGCATGTATAGACGCGTATATGCGCGTAAACACGCAGAAATACGCTGCCCGGACGCATCTCTGTTCCATTCTGTTTTTGCGCATATATACGCTACGCAAATATACGGCTCTATACGCGGCTGTGTGTATAGAGCCATTTATTTGCATAGGTTGCATATGGTACAATACGCACGTACGCACGCATACGTGCGGCAGTGTGAATGAGACCTAAGGCATGAACAACAGATAGAAAGCAAACAACTCCTGAGGAATTGTGGTCCTGATCTACAGGTCATGTAAGCACAGATATCAATCCAGGTGTTCAGCAATGGTTTACACAGCTTTTCAAGTAGTAACAGTATATTTGCATATGTTGTATTAAAACTGAATTCCAGACACAAATTAAAAACGCAATGAATGGATTTAAGCAATCATTAAAAAAATATATTAAATGTATTTTTAAATACAAGTATTTGCAACTTTCAAAAAGCCCCTGATAGGCAGAAGAAAAATAAGAGGGTGAGGGCCAGTCGTAGGAGTCGAGTCATTTTGCTGTAGTTTACAGTGCTGTCAGACTAACACTTTGAGCTTGTTGACAGGAAATAAAAGCAGAGTGAGGAGTCAGTGTGTTGCTGCTCCTCCTTCATTGATCACTTTGCAGGTCTGTTACATATCCTAGGTCAAACTGTACTGCTAAACTGCAGCTGAGGTCCACAACCAGGCTATGTTGTCAAGATCACAAGACTGGCTGAACAAAATGACAAATTCTTCTGGGGCGGGTGAAAGTTTACATATACTGTATGTCCTACTACTCTGTATTTAGACCCTACCTTGAGTTCTGGCTCAAATACATTACATAATATAAAACTATGACTAAAGCTTTACAGGAAACCTCTACTGAGATACATATATGTAGGCTGCCATTGCTTACCTTTCCTTCTAAAAATGCCAGCTATCTGGCAGCCATGCTTATTTAATGCCAATTTTCCCAAGTGAGTGACCTGAAACAAGTATGCAGATCAGAACTTCTGAATTTACTTGCTTCATACTTTTTATGGGCCACTAATCAGAAATGACGACAATCAGAGGCAGCTAGGCATGTAGAAATATGGTGGATGCCTTTATTGACCTCAACATACTCTCAGTACAGGTTTTTTTATTAAGCTTTCTGTGTGGGACAGCTGTAAGACTCCAAGAACGAAAAAAAAATAAAAATCTATAATTTATATATTCAACATGTATACACTGAGTGGCCAGATTAATATGACCACCCCATCAGTACTTTGTTGGGCCACGAGATGACTTCGTTGGGCCGCCTCGTGACTCCACAAGATGTTGAAAGGTGATGCGAGGAATCTGACACTGCACTGTTGCCCTTCTGTTGTTTAGTACCAGTCTTGCCACTCTCCATTCTGCCCTAACATTGACTAGTCGCTGACGGCCACAATTCGCACGTTCAGACCCAGATTCTCGGCTGACAGTCCAGTCTTTAAACACTTTAACAACAGCTGCTCTTGAACATTTAACTAATTCTGCTGTTTTGCTGATATTCGCTCCATGGCTCACGCCAACAATCATCCCACGTTCAAAGGCTGTTAAATCGCGTTGTTTACCCATATCTTCAGAAAAAAATAACTTCTACTGTCGTGGTAAACAACCTGATTCCCTATTTATAATGGTCTGGCCCTCTAGCAACTTCAGTGCAAAATTATAGCCAATTTGACTACAAACGTCAGGTGGTCATAATAATGTGGCCACTCAGTGTGTATTGTCTATTAAATCTAATGTCCTGTTTATTGTGTCAGTTAAGATGGAGATGTATTGAATACTCAAGTTGCTGGAGTGTATTACACAAAGAAACATATTGGACAGGCAAATATTTGCTGCAAGAGTCATGACAGCATCTCCGCAACCCCTCCAGGCATAGGACTGGTCACAACACAGGACACACCATGTTATTGTTTCAAGAGGCGGTTGAATCAAACACCCAATTGTAAACTGAATGAGAATCTTGCTATGGCTCCATTGAAGGCATTAGAACAATGTAACAAACACAGGCATTATCGGTGGCAAATATAAACGATATGGCAATATAACTTACGCTCATTGTAGCATTGATTTCTGCGACAGTCTCTTCATCTGTAGGAAACTGATAGATCTGAACTCCATTGCTGACGAGCTCACTCATGATTTTACTTTTGAATTTGTGCAGCTCGTTTTTGGCAATGGTGTCTGCTTTTGCAATGATGGGGATGATATTCACCTAAAGTACAAAATGACAGTGAGCCAGTACTCTTTGTATCAGGTCCCTTCCAGACACACATCTCACAAAATTTGCATCACATTTGGACTAAAGTGGAACATGGAAATCGATATTCAAAACCAGCCTTCCAGAGACAGCCAGTGCAGTCCATTTGCACAAAGGCCTCCCTGGGTTCCTTACACAAAAAAGGGTCAAGCTTTTGTGTCTGAACTGTAGAGATTTAGGCTTCATACTGTAAACATGTTTAAAGATATTGTGACTCCTGATGCAGGTTCTTGCCCACGAACAATCTTTTTAACAACAGATGGTAGTGCAGGCCTGCAAGTTTGCTTCAGGCAAATATGCATGCTTGTGGCTATGGATAAGGGAGGAGGAGCACTTTACAGACATCCAAGTCTCTTTCAATGGAAAGAAACCGCAATCAGCTGGGAAAACTCCATTGCGACCAATCAACACTTCTTCATTGATGTCTGCTGCAGATGGGAATGGCCTACAGATGTACGAATGGTCCCCAAATGAGAGACTAGACTAACATCCTCTGAGATGCAAATGTTGGTGCTTTATTAATAGAATGTTAAATAAAGGCCCAAGGGGCAAGTAAATATGAATAATGACATCAAAGTCCCATCAAAGTAACATCTTACAACAAAAATCACTTAAACCAGACATGAAAGTGATGCTTTAGTACACACGTACATACAGCATTCCTTCGAAACTGGTGAAACAACAGAGCAAACCTTTAAAATTTGTTTAAAGGAGTGACTTGCTAAACCTGAACAAAAAATGTCAACATGAAGCAGTTTATTGTGTTGAGGGTAATGAGGGTACCCCAAGTGTAAAATGTATATTTACTTTTATATCTCTTACAAAAACATTAAAAAGGAATATTTTCATATGGCAACTCAAGGAGCAAGGAGGATGTGCGATATGCAGAAACCAACTGCAACAATTCTGAAATCAGTGGATAATCAATTTGACCTTGTTGTTAGAGGTTACTGTTTGCCTTAAAGCCCAAATCCAGCAAAAAAATGTTTTTTGTATTAGACAGAGCAGGGAAGGGTTACAGTATCTGTAGTATTTTAATCCCGTCTCTGGATCTTACGTCCAGTTCCTTAGCCAAGTGCTGAGTAGCTGTTCTGCAGCACTTCAGTTCACTGCAGCAGCTTCACTGAATGCTTTGGCTGCACAGTGCTAAGCAAAATGGGGGAGGGTAATATTTTTGACTAATAAAAACCATTGTCCAATGAATATTTGGTGTGCTCGTCCACCAAAACATTAAATTGGAGGTTCCCATACTGAATTGATTTCCTCCATCGGGGTTCAGGCACCTTTCTCCAGCGCTGCCAGGTGTGCCCAGTTAAATTGGCCGCTGGTGTTCTGTCCCCACCATCTCCGTCACACTCAGCACTCTGCATCCACATTCATTTTCGCTGTGAGTGCTAAGTTAGCAGTGCTGAGGGCTGACTTGCAGCACAGCGTTCAGCAGAGGTTTGCTAACTCAGCACTCCCAGTGGCTAAGCAACTTAGCATGCCTCTGCACAATGTAGCATTCACCTTGGTGAGTAAGTGCAGAAAGAGAATGGGGCGGAGATGTGGGTGCAGTTATCGGTGATAGCAGGGAGGAGCGGTAGGCGGTCTTATCGCTGCAAGACTGCTGCACAAATGGAGGCGCTGACCTTGGTGTGCACAAATTGAAGAAGCTATGAGGACTCTGAGGGCCTATTCAGACCAGTGTGGTTTGTTTTTTGCACGGTTCCGTGCGCTTAATGCATGCTACCACACAACGCACCTACTATGCGTTACAGTGCAGCAAGTGCATTGCCATTCATCTGAATGGCACTCAAACTGAACTCTTGGCCACAATGCATTCCACCACACCGCAATGTGTGTTACTGCAATAACGTGCATCACAGTGCGGTGGAAAAAAGTAGTGCATGTGCAATAAAGGGGCGCCAGTCATTTACAATGCACTTTGAGATCGATGTGTGTTTCAGCACACTAATGTGCGGTGCTATGCCAAAGAATGATGCATGCACTATTTTTTTTTTTTTGCCCCAGTGAACCACAAAGCATGCCCACGGTCACCCCTTAGTTTACTTTTCTGACATTGTAAAAATGAATGTGATTCAACAAAAGTAAATACTGAGGGGTCTATTCACAAAGCTGCCGAGGGCAGCCGAGTGAATGACCGAACTCAATGACACTGCAAAGCATTGTGAAGACATACACAACCTATTGAGAAGTAGACAAACAAATAGGCTTTTTGTCTGCAAATTATTTCACTGTTTGCTTAAAGCACCTAGTGCCTTCCCAGTCAGAAGAATGTCTGTTTACACAAGCAAACCACATGGAGGGAAATTTATCAGAACTGGAGCAGGCAGAATCTGGAGACAACCAATCGGCTTCTATCTTCAGTTTGTTCAGATAAGCTTTGAAAATTAAAGAGAGAAGCTGATTAGTTACCATGGGCAACTGCTCCAGATTCTGGCTGCTCCAGTTTTGATAAATTCCCCTCATTATACTCTCTGTGAATGGTAAGAAGAGAGAACGACTGAATATTGGAAAATTATAAAGAACCAATTTGTAACAAATGTAAGAAAAAAGGGAGTTGTGGATTATAAGCAAACTATAAAAACTGTGAATACTATATAATGCCAAGAAAGGTGCAGGGAACTTGTAATCATAGGTTAGTGAATTTTTAAGGGGGTGTCATAACAAGTCACCTACAGCAAACAAGACTGCTGTGAATGTTAATATCTGTTGTCTTGAAGATAGATCTGCTCAAGAGGAAGGAAATGCAGAGTTAGTGTTAAGCCTTTAACCGGTTTCTAAAATTATCTATTCACCTATGACGTACTCATACAACAGAATAATTTGATGCTGTATTTCCAGTAAACATAACACAAACGCCGATTTGGAACAACATTTAGGCCAACATATTGACATTCTATTTCTCTTGCAAAAACTGTCATTATGGTATGAATACAAGAGAAGACATTTACTGTTGAAGAGGGGGATTTTTACTGAGCATCAACCAAACTTCTAAAGGCTTCTGGAATGTAGTTCTATACTGGTATAAGCATAACATGCCACCATATCTTTCCTATATGGCTAAAAGGTAGAGCTTGAACAATTTGGAAAATATTTTAAAAATGTCATAACTGGGGCGAACATTTACCAGGAATAACCCTGCAGTTAATCACCTCAAATGAACACGAACCTTACTGTCAAGTTTTTTCATTGTGACCAGGTCAAGAGATTTCAATGAATGGCCAGTGGGAGCAATAAAGTAAAGGCAGGCATGAATCCTTGTGTCATGGTAGTTATAAAGTGATCTCCTGATCTTCAGCTCTTCTTGAAGGTATGCCTCGAATTGAGCGTCTATGTACTCAACAATAGGACGGTAGCTGAAATTAAACACAGTACATTGGATTTACAGTTAATCTCTGCCTCCCAGGAAAATTAGAAATATACTGAGAAAAACACAAGTATAAAAGTTAGAGTAAATGATAAAAGAATGCAAGGACATCACATCTTGTATTTATGATATATCGACTATGGGATCCTACAGATCCAAACTGGGAATCTGGCAGCTACTAAAATCAATGTGTCTGTACACACTGGTGGGATGGATTTATGAAGCCGCCTAAAACTTATTATATAACTTTTGTTTACACATGCTCTGTTCGTAGCTCTGTCCAATAGACTGGAGCTGTTTCAGAACCAGCATGCCACATTTACAGAGTGGATTTGCATATTACATGCTTATTGCTAATAATAGAAGTATTAGTACTAAGCATGCCATTGGCAGTTTGGGTCTATATTATAATGACTGGATCCCAATCATTGTCTGAGAACCATGATGCACGGCAACACATATGAAGGTAGTTAGAGAGGTTAGTTCTCATCTCTTTATATCCCTGCAACAAAAAAGTCGTATGATCAGACAAAAACGGAGTAATAACCAATTAATCAAAACATCACCAATCTTCTGCTCTCTAGCTCCCTCATCAGCTCCTTCCATGATCACCTCCAGGCTGTCTCCAAAACATCTCCCATCCTCTGGAACTCTCTACCCCAATCTGTAAGGCAATCTCCTACTTTGTATTCCTTTAGGCAATCACTGGAAACATATCTCTTCTTTGAAGGCTTCCCTGCCTGCTTCCCTTCCCACCCCGCCTCTACCTGAAATTTTACTTTCTTGAACAACTTTTTTCAACCTGACTAACTATGTAACTATGTAACTCATCCCAAGACAGTTACTACCTTTTGTATCACTTGCCCTTCCTTTTTAGAGATTGTGAGCTTTCACATCAGTACAGTTACACCTTTCTGAAGTGTAACTGTACTGTCTCCCTTTATTTTGTAGAGTGCTGTGCAAACAATTAACGCAATATAAATTTTGTATAATAATAATAATAATGAAACCAGCAAAAGATAAAACCTAATAGCTAAATTTATCTATGATTAAGAAGAAAAAAAAAAGTTATGTTGAAGCACTGTAAATTATTGCCTTTTCCTGTCCAGACTTCCTTATGGGCTCTTTATTCAACAGGCAAAGGCCCATGGGATAGCTGTGTGGAAGCACCACTTTTGATTGATGTGATCATTTTGACCATACAAGGAAACAAAAAGGGAGATAAGGGGTTGTTGCAGGTCAGAAGTCTTTAATGTGCAAATATGCTGCAATGTTTGGATGAATTCAGATCAGTCGTGTCAGCTGGATACTGGAATTTAGGTCAGTATCCTTTCAAATGTAAAAGCGAATATAAATATACAGTTCTGATTAAAGGACCACCACAAAACAAGTGGATTCAATATAAATGTTTACATTGATGCTTTCCCAACTCATTCATACATTTCCCAAACACTGACAAAGGATAATTTATTATCATTAGATCTGAATTTATCATTTTCTCCTTCTGTCATGTTTAAACATTCTTGTTTATAAACAGTTTATTTGTGCAAACATCTGCTTAGTTTCCTTGCAAATGTTAGGCTATGGTCTTTCATAATTTATCATAGCAAATAATTCCAATGTTCTTCTCCACATAATTAAATTTAAAGGAGGAGAACTATGACATGAGTGATTTCCACTCACCTCATAGTTCTAAGCCGACCTGTGACAATGAGACTGTCACAGGTCGGCTCAGTAGATCGGGAGGTGAGGGAACACATACCGGGTTCCCTCACCTCTTGATCCTGTCACGGCTCTCTGCCGTGACAGGGGGAGGGGCTGGATTCCCCTCTCCCCGCTCCGATCTGCCAGTGCTGACTGGCGGAACGGACGGGGCGGGTACGGCTGGCTCTGCCTCTAGATAGGCAGAGCCAGCTGTCACTCACGCAGCTGGGCGGATCCCGTCATCTAAGTCGGGATCCGCTCCAGGTGCGGCGTCTCAGTATACCGCAAGCGACTGAGCTTAGGGTGACGGGAGGATGCTAGTTTGTGTCCTCCCGTTACCCCAAGGAGAACTATGGGGAAAAACACTGACCCCATAGTTCTCCTTTAAAGTGAGTCTGGTAGTTACAGCGCTTGTCCGCTCCCTACTGCCTACCACACATCAGTGAGTCAGCCCATTATAGTGATTATTAGGGATGCACTGATACCAGCGCCACACTCTTCCGTACAGCGCTGGAGAGCCCAATGCCCGGCAATCCGCCGGTACAACTATAGAGAGCAACACATATAGCCCTGGCGAGACGCGATTGCAGCCCTGGAGAGCCTGGTGCCCAATAGTACAGCCCTGGAGAGCCCCACATGCAGCCCTAATGAATGCAGCCCTGGAGAGCCCGGCAATAGCCAGTACAGCCCCCCATGCAGCCCTGGTGAACGCTCGCAGACACACTGCCACACATCTGAGTGACCCTCGCAGCCCTTCTGGAGCCTGCCATACCCTCCTGAGAGCAGGTAAGTAAACTTTTCTACTGCAGCTGTCTATTGTTCTTCTCTTATTGGTGTATGTTACAGTGCTAATCAAATGCAATAGAGAATGGCATGATTGCTGGTTGCCATTCTGTATAATCATGGATTGATGGGATCTGTAGTCCTCTATTGCTGGCTGGCATTCTCCATTGCTGAATAATCACGGACTGAGTTACAGTTCTTCCTAATTATAAAGAAACTGCCCTAAAATCATTAGTCTGTATTGTTTTAGAAAAATGTCACATGTCCCTTTAAGAAAAAGTATCCGTAATTGGTATCGGCAAGTACCTGAAGGACAGTACTTGGTCTTAAAAAAGGGGTATCGGGACATCCCTAGTGATTATAGCTTTGGATAGAGTGTAAATAGAAGACCTTCTTTTCCCATTCTAGCCAAAGCTAAAAAAAAAAAAAAGCAGTTTGGCTATAGGAAGTCTACTCATATCTTTAAAATAACAACAGTAATGACAATCTACAAACACACACTTCTAGATAACTGCATGCTTTGTATTCTTTGCACACCTTATTTTTCGTTTCTTCCCCAGTCTCCTGACAGTGGCCATGTTAACTAAGGGCAGGCTACTTTACTTCCTTTACTCCCTTTACTTCCTGGAACTCTGGCACATGTGACTAGGGCATGTGACCATGCACATCATCTCAGGGGTGGAAAATGCCTTTCCCTGAGATCACAGATGAGATTTCCCAGCAATGCACTACTGATGTAACCTTCCCAGGATGCAACGTTTTGGCACATTACATCATTTGTGCCAGAACGGGACCAGGAAGTAGATTAACTCTTTTTGTAAGTAAATGGAAAACAAGTTTTGTTTAACTAATGAATGTAAAACGATTTTGGTGAAATAATCTTCAGTGATTTTTAGTAAAAGGGGGTAAAGGTTCACTTTAAGGCTGTATTCTCACCTTTGCATTTCTTAAAATCAATAAAAATGCATGAAAACACATAAACACAATGTGATGCATCGACATGAGTGTTGACATTTAAAGTGCTCTGGAACACTTGAAAACGTGCGATGACACACGTTGACATGCCTTTTGTTTCCAATCAGTTCAAAGGAAAACACATCTGGGGAAAAATGCTTCATCCTTAAAAGGAGAACTATGGGGTCAGTGCTTTTCCCCATAGTTCTCCTAAGGGTCACGGGAGGACAAAAACTAGCATCCTCCCGTGACCCAATTCTCAGTATATCGCGAGCTACAGCTCGCAGTATACTGAGACCGCTGCAGCCGGGACAGATCCCGACATTACTGTCCAGATCCACCCAGCTGCGTGAGTGACAGCTGGCTCTGCCAATCTAGAGGCAGAGCCATCCGTTCCGCCAGTCAGCGCTGGAGTGACTGTCACGGCTCTCTGCAGGGACATGATCGAGGAGTGAGCAAGTGACGGTATGTGTTCGCTCACTTCCCGATCTATTGAGCCGACGTGTGACAGTTTCATTGTCACACGTCGGCTCGAACTATGAGGATGGGTGTAAATCACTCACCTCATAGTTCTTTAATTTAACGAGAATCTGAATTTCCATGCTCTCCTATAGGTATCAGAACCCCATTTGTTCCACCTTATAAAACTTAATTTAAGCAGAAAAACTTAGAGGAATGTTTGAAATCCTTACAATTTATTACAGCATATATAACTTATGCCGGTGTTATTATACAGTAGGTCAACATAGCTTATATATAGTGATGTTTTAATTACTAGAATTCAAAACTTTTTTCAGTATACATACCTGTCATCTTTGTTAATCTGGTCCCCAAAGCCTACGGTATCCACTATAGTTAGCTTCAGACGGACATTACTTTCTTGAAGTTCATAGCTTCTTGCTTTTAACCGGACCCCAGGCTCACTGTGAGAAACTGGTTCACTTTCAAACTTTGTATTGAATATGGTGTCCATTAAGGTGGACTTTCCAATGCCCGTTTCCCCTGAAAACAGATAAACAATATTGGTTGTTCCGGTGTCATGGTGTTTAAGCAGGTGATCAAGTAAACTACATTTACAGTTAAAATATACATTCAAAAGCCCTTAAAAAGTGCAATATTTGCTTTGAGGCTCTTGGACTTGTCTGTGGGAATTCTGTTTTTCCTACTCTAATTTGAGGAGTACAAATTATGCCAACTTCAAGCAGGTGCTTACAAACCACATTTGTGGATGCAGTCGTATATTTGAGGGTTGTCATTAGAACTATAACTACAGTAATCAAAGTAACCTAGCCTAAAAAAAAAATCACAAGGCATATATTAGAAGTAAGCTTTTCCCTAGCCCCTAGTTGTTGGATTTCAACAGTTCTAAGAAATTAGCATGCAATAAAACTGTCCCATAAGAACACTTGAAAAGGAAGGTTTACCATTCATGGCCACACAGTGTAAGCTCGTAAATGAATCATCAACCTCAGAGGCAACTGGGATTTTGAACATCATAAACATGCCCATCGTTAAATATGGTATCCGTGCTACACACTAGAAGCAGAATATAATGCATCCACACAAGCCAGTGCACAGATGGTAGGGGACAGCCAAGGCTGCTGTTGCTAAGGGACAGCCAGGGCTGGATTTTATCATGGCAGCCTGTATATACAACCTTTAGTACCCAAAGCAACACCCCCAATACCAATTTTACACATATTTTTTTCTGTTTTACTGGTCCTAACCAGGCTTAGAATATTGACTGCATTCGCTTTTTAATCAGTAATCCAACATTATCTGGCCTTGGTGGTACTGTAAGCAGCTATGTAACTCAACTGTTCTCTTCTTTGTAGAATCAAACATTCAGCTAAAACATGTCAGAACTAGTGCATGCATCTGGTCATTTGTTACATTGTGTTCTTCATGATTAGATAGTTTGGCGTTGGTGCTGGATGGTCAGATCAACAAAACTGGTCCATAAAGACTTGACCACCCACTATCATGCACATGTAGTGCTAGGCAAAGTGATAGCTACTTATATTACCAGCTATGGCCTCAGGCTTTCCAGTAAGATTTGAATCTGCAAATACCTGTTACTCAGACATGCAGACATAATAGTAAGTGATCTTTGAATCTTTACATGCAGCATTACATGTACATCTTCAGCCGGTTATCTGCTTTCAAGGGGATACTATAAAGAACAATACCCACCATTATATAACTATCGAAGCTGTAAGCATATAAGGCTTCCATTAGTTCACTGACTCTACATTCATTGCTTTATCCCACATCTTTCATATCAGCAATAAGGTCACATGACAGTTGGACTTTCCCCCTTTACAGCCAAGCAGCACCAGATGGAAACCGTAACATTCTGTCAACCAGATATTATAAACAGATTGGCAAGTAAATAAACTCTATGGCAATGAAACGAAACACATCTTTTGTAACTAAAACAAGTTCTTATCCGACTGTTTTTGCATGTATTGTATGTTTGTGAAGTGTATTAAGGTCACCTAAACACCTAACTACATCAGGGCAGATAAATAAAAAAGAGCAGAGCCAATACCTGTGCAAAATATGGGAAGCAAAGGATATTTTTAGGGGCCACGCAAAGCTGTTTTTATTAGTAGCTGTGCATATTTGATTTGTCTTGCCTGCATTTTCTGTATGTTTTCCAGGCAATGCCTTTTATCCCTATGAGAGAGGGAGGATATGACAGCAGGCAGTATGTGCACAAGAGAGGTGGGGGTTTGATACTATAGGCTCAATACATATATCTCCGAGCACTCCATTCAGCTAGCCACCAAAGAGAAACTAAAATCTGTTGCTCACATTAAAGCAGAATTCCGGGTAAAACTTTTCTTAACCCTTGCAGTGGGGATACCCCCGCAAGCCAAGGGACACATCATCGTTGCAGCAGAGGAGGCTGCAAGGGAGCGCTGTCACAGCCTGATTATAGTTCCAGTCTATTTGGGTTAGGATTTCTTGGCTTCTTAAGAGTTTCAGGTGGAAGAGGGGGTGCCACCATTCCCAAGCTGCTTAAATCACTACAACTACAAAGCTCAAACTACAGCTCACTATAAATAGAAAACCAAACCCCTGGCTCCTGTAGCATGAATTTACTTAAAGGATAATTATGAGGCGAGTGATTTCCACTCAGCCTTATAATCTGAGCCAACCTGTGACAATTAAACTGTCACGGGTCTGCTCAGTAGATTGGGAAGTGAGCGAACACATACCGGCACTCGTTCACATCTCGATCTATCCCTGCAGAGAGCCGTGCCTGTCACTCACGGCTCCCTGCGGGGATTCCCCCCCTCCCCTGTCTGATCCTCCAGCGTAGACTGGCGTAACGGACGGGGGACAGGGCGGGCACAGCTGGCTCTGGATAGGCAGAGCCAGCTGTCAATCCCGCAGCTGGGTGGATCCAGACAGTATTGTCGGGATCCGTCCACGCTGCGGCTAGCTCGCGGTATACTGAGCATTGGGTCACGGGAGAACGCTAGTTTGTGTCCTCCCGTTACCCTTAGGAGAACTATGAGAAAAGCCCTTACTCCATAGTTCTCCTTTAAGCTCACAACACACATTACATCTGCTTGCACAGTCTATGTTAGATCTACCAATTATGAAGTGCAAGACCTGACTGTATACGGATTGACTGGGTAGTTTAGGTATATCCTCATATTAAATAGTTCTGGCAAAAAATAACGTTTATTGCACAGAGATTGTAAAGCCAGATTCATGCGTAGTGAGTCTTAGACAGACCTTGCAAAATCAAATACATGAAATGGAGTTCACTTACCAACACATAATATGTTAAAGCAGAATCCCTGTGAAGTCGATTTGTTGACAAGCTGGTCAGGAAGACTGTCAAACCCAACGTGCCCAGATAAAGACATACTTCTGAGGTCATCATTAGGCGACTAGAAAAAAAAGAAACATATATTTAACAAAGCTGTGAAAAAAGAAGAGGTTACAGAAAATGTTAACGGTATATTTACATTAGTAAAGTACTTGAACCCATTTGAGTCTTGTGTCCACTGGAAAAAATTAAAGCTACATTTAGCTTCTAATACAGTAAACTCCCTGTTATCCGGCATCCACGGAGATTGATTACGGATGAATGTAGTTTCTGGTTGCTTGAGAGTTACTATTAAAAATAGGTCTAACTAATGCCATACCCCATACCATAACAAACTCTTTATTTACTTCATATTAATATTGAAATGCAGTGATCAAAAGCAAATTAAGACAAATAGGCACACGGTCATGCTTGCATCTTCTCTCCCATTAGGCGGCCTGGTCTTACAGTTTATGTGCAGAAATAACTGGCTCTTAGTATATTCATTCAAAAGTGATCTCTGGTTATTGCAAACATAAAGTAACCATACAAGCAAGGTAGATCTACAGTCTTAGAGCAAAATGAAAGCACATTCCTGAATGCTACCTAGGTTTGTGAGTTTAACCACCTCCGGGCCGGCCGTAGTAAAAAAACGGCCGGCCCGAGCTCTCTAGATCTGAGCGGACATTTTCAGATAAAATAGAAAAAAATGGTTATGGTATCCAAATCCTCAAATGAATTTTATGGAAATGCTTAGACTGCATAGAGTACTATGGTAAAGCTGACCTCCAGGAGCCCCACATCCCTCAACTAACCAGCAGAATATCGCTTCATATCATTAGTGCCGTCATGCAGTTCAGCCTTTGGTCCGCTATCATCAGTATGCATCTAACAACAGATCCCTCAGCTATGAGATAAGGCATTCACATCAAAGGTATAGTATATTCCAACAGTCTAAAGCTGGCCATACACTGTGAAAATACTCTTTCAATGGGTGGCCCTGTGGGCACCTTTTTGTCTGGCATTTTTCCATTCGACAATTTTGGGCAAAACAGTGATGCCAGACAATTGGCTGCCATCACTGTTTGGGTATTCTGACAGTGGTGATTGTGCCCAGTGGGAGATTCATCCATCCACACTAAAAAAAATATAAGTGGATGGGCAGTTTTAATCTGGACATACACCAGCAGATTTTTCTCAAAGGACATTCTAACAGTGAATGTGGTTTTTGTTCAAGAAACTCCATTCATTCCAAAATCCAATGTTTAAATCAAACTCAATTTTGAAGGACATTCATCAGGTGACTGATGGCATTATGATAGGTTTAATCAAGATTTCTCTTAACTGTCGTACGAATATCTACCAGTGTATGCCCAGCTTAAAACTTCTGTTCAAATAACTTAAACTAAGGGAACTCCTACACGGGGATTTTACATGCACAGCAATCATTGAATGGTGCAGGCCTGCTTCCAAAGCATATGTACTAGGTGGCTGCTCCAGGTCGGTCCACTTGGATCCGCTGGAAGAGTGCACACACCAGCTCTCAACCAGCCACAAAATATACTCTAACTATAAGGAAATGCAGCACTCATGTGTTAATTGAAGATCGATGTGTAATCTTGAATTCATCAATCAGCACACAACATTATGATTATGCTATATGATTAAGCGCAAGCATGAGTGAAACATGTTAGAGATTTTGTCCAAGACATATGCTGCATACCGATTGATGAATTAAAGATTACACACCAATCTTGAATTGACATAAGAGTGCTACGTTTCCTTACAATTGCAGGCCTGCCTTGGAGAGTAATATCCAGCACAGGGGTCAGCAACCTAAAGCACACATGCCACGATGGGCACGCAAAGCCATTTTTAAGACTGGAAGCTTGATAGTGGAGGGAAGTGGCAGTTCCCCAAAAGGTAAACTACTAGGGGAGGGTTATTTCAGTTTGCCACATTTACTGGGAAACTGAAATGACCCGTGGGTCATCCTGATAGAACTACCGGGCTCAACAAAATTCAGTCAGATGCAGTCACTGTTTGGTTATTCTGCCAGTCATGGGTGCCAGCTGTCTGATTACAATAGCCAGCAGGGGAGATTCCTTTATCCATGCTGTTTAGCATCGATGAGGGAATTGACTGATTTCTCTCATTCAGGCCGTGATTTTATTTTTAACCTTACTAACCATGTATCTATATCCTTGGCATGGGAACCAATGCAGACCTAACATAACAATATGATATTTCCTGTGAATACTTAGCCCAGGACGGGCAGCCTCACAAATCAGCAAGCAATATTTGCATTTAAAACAGATATGCAAGTTAGGTTTGGCCTCATCTACACAATCTTTCCCAGTCTCCCAACCAACGCAAAATCTTGTATTTTTCCACTTGCAGGCAGCCAAGCTGAGAAGCGTATTTTTAGCAAAAATCCTGGCGAAAAGAGAAGCAAATCGACTTAAGGAATATTTTTCTATTGTTAAGCAGTGCTGGTCAGCCATTGTAATCAAGACCAATTAGGAATGTGGCTAAAGACTCACAAACAGGCAGACGCATACATATGCACTCACAAAAGGTTATTAAAACAAGAAGTATTCCTGACATGGCAAATAAAATTTATTTCCTGGCAAAAGGTTGGATGAAATAATCCTACTGAATGTAAGCCAAGTCTAAATGGTGCTCCTGTTATGAAAGGAAACACCACATATTATATTATACCCTCCAACTGATAAAAGATCATCAGAAAACGGAGTACATTTTGTTACTGCCTTCTACAGGAAGGAAGGCCCGCTGACAAGAATTTAACCCCTTCGTGACGGGAGACGTACACTGTACGTCCAGCCACAAAGGGACCAAATGACTTGTCACGTACACTGTACGTGACGAGTTATTTGCTGCTTTAGAGGGCTGTTAATCGCTGAGAATCAGCTTTTAACATTCATTAATGGCTGCCCTTACTACAGAGGCATTCATTAATGAAAGGGTTAACCTTTTTCAGACACCCGATACCTTAATATCGGGTGTCTGAGAGTCAAAGCAAAGCGGACACAGATGCCGGCTTTTGCCGGCATTCTGACAGCTCGTATAGATCGAGAGATATCTCTCTCAAGCTATACTGGCTTTTTTTTTTTTCTTTCATGAATAGATACAAAATGTGTCTATTCCTACAATGTATCTATTCCTGGAAGAAGAATGTTTGTTTGCTGATCGTTGTTGCAACAATCAGAAAACATTTAGTAACAGCTGAATCCTGAACTGCTGCAGGATCAGTGTCACTAACTTATTATCGGCTGTTCTGAAGTTTGAAGCAGCCTGATAATAACCAAAAATTTATTAATTTATCATGCAGTAACAGTGAGATTAATTCACAAAATCTGCTTGATATAATTAAATAAATAAAATAACATTTTTAAGTTAAAAAAAAAAGTGAAAAGTGTAAAAAAAAAAAAAAATTGTGAAAAGTGTAAAAAAAATAAAAAAATGTGTAAAAAATAAAATAAAATAAGGGACAAATAAATGAATGTATTTATTGCATTTTTTTAGCTGTGCTGGTTTTGTAAAAAAAATACTACAAATCAAAACTGGGAAAAAAGTGTTTTTTTTAAACGTTTTTTTCCTCTTTTTTTATATTTTATTTGTCCTAAGTGAGGCGTTAGACGCACATATGTGATATAAATATGTAGCCCTATCTGTCCTCTAAAAAACAATATATAATATGTGTGGGTGCACTTTGTAAGAAAGTATATTACTGACGTGGAAGAATCACACAGCAAAAATGTCAAAAGTGTGTCAGTCATTTACGAACAGAAACTAAAAACAAGCTCAGTCATGAAGGGGTTAAAGAACTTCTCAAGGCAGATGTATAAGAAAGCCATATAGTTCACCGTATCTTCTAGCATAATAGTTTTACAATGTGTCAAGTTTAATTACTAGAAATCTTGCAGTGTGGGTGCCCATAAAGTAATCTAAAGAAGTTATGTCATAAGAAAAAAAGTGATGTTCACTAGTGGTCCAAAGACCAGACAGATCAGGAATTGGCATACAGTCATCAGAACTGTAAGCTCTGAAAGGTTTTGCCATGCACCTCATAGAGACCAGCAATAACGCACTGCAGGGGTTGATGAATCACATGTGCATTATACATTCTAAGTGATCCTAAGTAACATTATGAGTGATTCTACACTATTCTACATTGTATAGCCAGACGTATGAGGACAACCCTCCAAATGACTGGAGTCCAGGTGTTTCCAGTGAAGGGGACTGTTAATACTTCACCATACAAAGACATTTAGATGACTGTGAGCTTCCGTCCTTGTGGCAACGGTTTGGGGAGGGCCCTTTTCTGTTTCAAGATGACTGTTTCCTTGTCCAACATCACTATCTGGCCTAACAAAAGCTCTTTTGGCTTACAGACAACAAATTCCCACAGACACACTTCAAAAACATGTGAAAAGTTTTCCCAGAAAACTGTAGATTGTTATAGCCATGGGAAGGGAGGGGGGCTCCATGTTAATGCCTATGATTTTGGAATTGGACGACCAACATCCCAATACAAGTGTGATAGCCAGGTGTCCATAAACGTTTGGCCATATAACATTTTTATATATATATATAACAAATAATGGCCATCTGCTACAGGCATTAACTTTTTCCCAGCATTGTATTTTGGTTGTCATCATCCATCTCTCTTCTATATTAATTTAAGGTTATCGGAACAAACAGAATGAGAGAGTGTGGAAACCTCAACATAAACTGCTTCTCTAAAGCACAGAGTTTGAATCTAAAAACGGGTCGATGCTTCTCAGACCTCAGATCAGAGCAGTTGTCTGACTTTAGCTTAGGGAAGTTGTTGCTTGTACACAGAGGGTATTTTTGCTTCCTTGAGTGGAGGAGGGGGGTAAAATATGTGTTAGTTACTCCTGACCTTAGCACTGTGTTGCATACGACTGACCCCTTCACCCTGCATTTACATACTAGTGATCTCTGAACTCTGTGTTACTTACTACTCATCCCTGCACTGTGCATTACTTACTACTCATCCCCGCACTCTGCATTACTTACAACTGACCTCTG